CCCCCCCCCCCCAGAAAGTTAATCGATCCCCCCCCCCCGAAAGTTTTCTGCGGGCGCCCATGTATGCGTATACTGATTAAGCTAAGTAACTAAGTATATTACTTATACTACAATTGTGTATATACTTTATACTGCATAATATTTAGTATAGTAATAGGCTATTACTATTATACTACCGGTATACAGATATTATTCGCAGATTTCGGTCTGCCGATAACGCTAAACATTATTCACAGAGCTGTGTGGATAACGCTCGCCGTTATTCACAGATTTCGGTCTGCCGATAACGCTAAACGTTATTCACAGAGCTGTGTGAATAACGCTTCCCATAATTTAATTCGAGGGTCGTTAGTTACCTGTTTTAGGTGGGTATCTATAAGCACTTTGTGATGACGCATCTCCACTATCTTCTCGATTATTACGATTCCTAGTAAAAGTAGTACCCATGATCTCAAGTTACAAACGAGTTTGAAGATACTAATACCAGATCCAATAATTTCAGTTAAGGTTTCTCTCCGCCATTTTCATCACTCAACCCGGAAATGGCGATTGCTTGATGACGTAATTTTATAAACAATGTGGTTCTAGAACCCATTGACATATACTTCTACTAAATTTACGTGAGTTATTTATTTTCCCGTAAACAATTATTAATTTTTAATAATTACGTAGCGTATTAATTATCGCCCTGATACTATTGTTCTTAAATTTCAAAACTAATGGATTGTTTGTTGACATGCCGGAAGAAAGTACTTCCCACTGCAAGCTTTTGAGTTTCTCTCCCTCTGATAATATTAAGGCAACCAATCAAGGCCAAGATACCATGAAATGTTTTTGTTCTCTTCTCACCGATTGGTTGAGCTACAATTTGCCTTGATGTGTTTACAGTCTCGTCAAAACAGAACAATTCTTTAGGAACAAAAAATACTCAATTTTTATCGAACTATGGATAACTTGAAACAACAAGTTATGATAAATCAATTCGTCCACGCAGCTGGATGTCATGCAGAACAAGCTAAACAATTCTTACAGGCAGCACAATGGCAATTTGAGGTAAAAATGAGACCTTACCGTATTCGACTTTGACTGTCTAAAATGTAAACATGGCCGAATGTTTATCATTCAAGTGTGGCGTGCTCATTGAAAGTGCGCACTTTCTAAACATTATATTAATTTATTATTGTGTATAGTATGTGTTTTAAATTTACACTAATGTGCGAAAATAACATTTTTGTATATTTTTTCCTTTTCAGGCAGCACTAAGTATGTTTTTTCACCAAGAATCAACAGTTCCTACTATGTGTAGAACGTGTAACAGGAGTCACACAAATGGAAATTATCCGGTAACAACCGATTTTCTTGCTTGATTTTACAAATAATTATGCTGTGTGGTTGAGAGAAAAACTTAACTGTTATTCATTTGGTTTTGTTACACATGTTTTACACTTATTTATAATGTATCACTCTTCTTTATAATGATCTACCATGACCATGCCCCTGTCCCATGCTATTTAAATAGCAACCTAAAAGTCAAAATGCTTAGTTTAGGCTTAAAAAAGTAATTTGATCATTGATGTGGTAGGTATGACTATTCCGATCATTGATGTGGTAGGTATGGCTATTCCGCCTAGAGCAGTGTTTCCCAATGCCCAATCTTTGCTGAATGTGCTGTGTTTAGTCTGTATAAATGTTTTACCAGTACCTTGTCTCCCATAACACCATAACCCCTACAAATTGGTTAGCAAGATCTCACACTCCCTGCAAAAGTATCAATGCCAATGCATTTTGAACATGAAAAACATGGACTTTCGATTTTTTAAATTGAATATTAAAGAGAATGTGGGCTGATTTTTGGACCCTCCTGCCACCATCAACACAATTTTGTGAGCCCCTCCCTCCTAGATGCATGTCATTTGTGGATGGCCCCTTATTTTAAATCTATCATATAATATAAATGTTAATGAAGAAATTAACAATATTAAAGAAACAATTATATCATGGCATAAATGAGAATTCAATGGCTCCCCTGCTCTTACATCACTTTTTTCACACACTGTGAATTGCCATATTGCACCCCACGCTGGGAAACACTAACCTATAGAAAATTGACTGATCAGTGCAGTTAGCTTAAAATCTAGGCTATTGAAGACTAAATCAATATTGTTACTGGTACTTAAATCATAACCTCCTTCCATTCATGAGTTTTAAGGGTGTTAAAAATCAAAAATTGATAATTTAGTTAGACATAGTCAGTCTAAATTTTCAAATTGAGGCACTTTTCTGAAGGAAAACTTTCAGTTTTGCTTACTGGTATTTAAGTTATTGTTTTTTTTTCTTATAAAGGAGTTCTTGAGACAGAGAGGAAGCATAAATAAAATTCCTTTGCTTTGCTTGCATTAGAGGGTTGGTTATTGTGAGTTTTAAAAGACCATTTTTAAAAATTAGTTAACTCATCCATTATTGGTAACCCTAACTTGTTGGTCTAGTTAAACATTAATTTTTTTATCCATCCCTAGCTCATTAAAAAAATTTGAATTTCCAACTTTACTTTTAGTCATTAATGGAAGAAAACAATAAAAATGGCATATGTTTTCAGTGCACTAACACCCCCACCCCCCCTTCTCAAACTCATTAACACTCTTACATAAAAATAGTCTCAAATTTTGTAATCCAAGGTTAATAAATCTGATTTCCATTAATGGGCACCCGCACTAGTCAAGTATAGATGTTAATTTTTTTAAAGCAGCAATAATTTTTCTTTAAATATCCTTAATAATGACTATTTTTTTATACTGGATAATGTAACTTTGAGGTACTGTTTCCATTTCTATTCAAAAGAATTTTTTTTTAAATATATGAGTGATGCAAAACATTGTTATACTTTGATTTTGGATATGTTGCCTCACATGCAGTGAATTTTTAATAGTTAATTAGGATTTAACATTTATTGAATGTGTTTGGCTGGTTTGGGGGCAGTAAGGGACATATACCTTTCAAGATGACACTTCTTGAGATCAGCAGCATTTGGCCCTAAGCCTACCGTAATATATTTGGCAGAATTACAACTAGTGGTAGCAGAGTTATTTTTGTGATAAATTCTGGTGTGAGCACATAAATAGCTTACCAATGCCATATTTAAATATAAAGCATTTCTTTAAATACTAGTATAGAAAATGAGTTAGAAATAAAAATAATTTTAAAAGTGGATGCATTTAATTTGTAAACAAATTTCTCTTACAATCTCATTGAATTTCTTCCCTGTGTATTTCAATCTGCATTAGTAGAATCAATCAGTTTTTGTTTTTTTTGTATTAAAAAAGAATTCAATGAGTATATTAAGTACTTCTTTTAAATGGATTTAATATTTATCAGTGCTATATGTTAAGACTCATAAAATTGATAAAAATCTATATCTATAATTCGCCATCAAAGGTCAAACTCAAACACCGCCACCACCACACAGGCTATATATAGATAATGAGTTCACTAGCATGCAAAATATAATTCCCGATAACTATGTTAAATAATTTATATTTTTTTAATAACGCAACTTCGTTTGGTGCGTAATGTTTTTCGAAAAATGAAATCGTCTCAATTTAATTATGGTGCAAAAAAATATTCTGTTTAAAAGTGTTTGGGACATCAGAATATTTAATATAGTTCATGGGCGTGAAAAAAAAATTGTGCAGTGACGTATCATGGGGTTGTAGCAAAAATTTAGATTCATAAATGTGCGATACTTGAGTTCATGTTTTGTCAAGTAACTTTAGTAGAGAGGAAGTTCACGCATTGCCGTCGCCAATGTTTGGCGGGCTCAATCTAGTTGTCATTAATTGTTCTAATTGTCAAATCTGGCATAATGTCAGTCAAAAAGATTGACTAAAGGTTTCTTAGATAATATGAAAGGTTTGAGAAGCAATTCTATTTCAATAAACTATTTAGTCTCAAAAATCATTATTTATTTCATTTATTTATTTTTCTAATATGCAAACAATAAGGTCAGAATTATAGCACTTTTAGGGATTAAATTTGTATAGGCTTTGTATCTTTTCTTACATATTTTAAGATTTGTAATTCGGTATGATTTTTATTTTTGTTACTGGATGTTCTCAATCTGGTTTGCATGAAAGTTACTGGTTATTGAAAGACTTTTTTTAAACATACTTTTTAATATTTCTGCTTTAAACACAATATTATTAACCTCTTTTCTTGATGAGAAAGCCAAATAAATAAAGTACAATAACAAAATATTGTAGCCCTATTTAAATTATATAGATTTTTATGTTTCTTCCAATCAGTGCAATTCACAGGGAGATGTACTGAAGCTTGCTTTCTTTGTCTTTGCACTTCTATTTATTAGGCATTTTTACTTTTAGGAGACATGTTCTTATATTTCTATCATGTTTGTTTCTTCTTCAGCTGTGTACACCAGCAAACACACCTGCAACTCCACCCAATTTCCCAGATGCTCTGGCAGCACTGGCCAAGTTAACAACAGGAGACAACAAAGTCTTTGGTTCACCTCACCCTCACTCAAACTATCCATATCCATCTCCTTCACAGCAAGCTCAGCAGAGCATGGCCCATTCTCCAAACAGCATGCAAATGCAGATTGAAACAAACAGTAGATAAACTGAAGATGGTCTGTTCTATTAATTCGGCAGCTGGACATTAGGACAATATTTTATAAGGCTTTGACTGGACTGCCTGCTGTCAGTAGTAGAGTTTTTCAAAGATAATTCTTCACACTCATCATTTGAATATTTGCACAAATCTAGTGTTCTGCAGTGCCGAAGACCTGGGTGTTTTCAGGGATTGACACAGAACTTCAAAGTTTCTATCTATTGATTTTATTTTTGTATGTTTTTTGTCACAGTGTGACATCTATTCAACTCATACTTGTGGATGCTTTGTTCAAAGGAATTTGATTTCATAAGGGTACAACTGGTGCTTGAAGGGAAGTACTGGAAGACCATCCCCTCCAAAACTGTGGCCATGTTATAATTGTCTGATAAACTATTTTCGCTTAATTAAAAAATCATCTTTGCTATTCTCACCTTTTCACTTCACCAGTTTTGTAAGCTCTTTAGTAAATTTATCATAACATGTCATAGCCATCCAACACATTCATTTTTCTAGTAACGCCGAATTTAAATCCTAACTAAGCATGCACTATTTTCGAATATGAAGAAACTGGTGATTTGTTTCAGATAATTCATAAGTTGGTTTTGTTTTCAGTCATGTATCTCTCCCTTTTTACAGGTAAATGTATTGATAACTGACAGAGTATTTACCAAAATACTTCTTAGATTAAAGCTTTATAGTTGGTCATCTGTCTAAATGAAAATGATCCTTTTTGTAATCTGTTAAAAGGTCTTTAACAGAGTTATGGGATCTATGCTTATTTCCAGTTTTAAACAATGTGTTTTTCAAGTTGACCATAGCAATGGGAAATCATTTATTATTCTTCCATTATAAAATTGCAAAATCCGTTTTCACTGAGTAATATTTACAGTATTTAGTAGGCCTATGTTAGTTAGTGTACACGTACACCTATTTTAGTGTACATGTAGACATTTTTACCAGAGGTCAAGTAATGCTGTGTCAAGATATAAGATTAATTTTTCTTCTGCACTGAGGTGATCACAATAGATAGAAATTTGCAAGTTGACATTTTGTGTTGTGGTCACTAAATGCCCATGTACTGTTGCAGAATATAAAATGTTTGTTTTGTAACCCACTGTGTGATATTGTCTGGGGTTGTTATATATTTTATTGAAATAGTTCAAGCCATATCAATATTCTTACAAATTTTCTTTAACTCACACCTTTTCTCTTCCCTGTTTTCAACACTAGATATCTCTAGCAATATGGACTTCATACAAAATATTTCTGTGTCACATATGATCTATGTACATTATATTATGAATTAATTATGTATACATTAGCGTTCATGTGTATTCAAGGATTCTCTGGTCCGTAAGTCTTGTTGGTACATCAGATTTAAGTCTTATTCAAAGCAAATCTTTGTTTGTACTATTTCTTACATCTAATATCATTGCCATGGTAAATGATTGCTGAGTATCACATCATGAACACTCATAGTGAATGTTTCATTAAAACAAAATTGACATGTATCTTCTATTTTTATTTTGTACACAACAATATGAATGTATATAGTTGAATTACTATCATGAATTGTTTTAGTTTGGGTTGTTTTTTTTTAAAAACAAACTTTCTAGCCTGAATGTGTAGGTGATGCTAGTTGAATGCCCTGTGAGGTGATGCTAGTTGAATGCCCTGTGAGGTGATGCTAGGTGAATGCCCCATGTATGTGAAGCTAATTGAATGCCCGACATTGTATTATTTCATGTTATCATTGGAATGTACAAGTTTCTCATTGATTGTATTTCTTTTGTTGTTGTTCCCATGTAAATTGTTGTTTTGTTGTGAGTGTAATTCTTGCAGTCTCTTTGTGCTACTGTAAGTGGAATTTTTATGTTTTATGAAAATAAAATAAAAACTATTATAAGAGAATTATCAATTGAGCCTTGAGTTGAATGTTTAAGAATTTGGACAGGGGAGTTGTGTGTAAGAAATCAATATAAATACATATATTTATATATATGAATTTAAGCAGTATCAACTTATGGTTTTCACCTCTTGCATTCCTTTAATTATTTTTAATCGATATAGGGTGTTTGAGTTATTTCTTCACTAATTCACAATCGAATAATATAATAGTCAGTAAGTTAATAACTTCCCATTAATAAAAAGCTTGTTTACCCGACGGCTTTTTGGGGAGTCTTGGTTTGTTGTTGATTAAATGTGCATAGTAGTCAATAGTAGTAGGCCTACTTCCCACACGGACTTCCCCAATTAAATCTATGAACATGGAATGTGTGGCCAAAAGGAGTCAGCATCAAAATTAGACATACGCCTCTTAATTGATCTGGTCTATTTTTAGAGGAGGTTTTTTTTTGTTTTTTTTTCGTGTAATTTAACGAGCAAGTATTTGTCAAATACTACGATGTCCACGTTCGATTGGTTTATTTCCTTGCCATTAATCTGAACCTAATAAAGTCAGCAAGCTGTTAACCGAAGCCGTGAACTTTTAATAACTCATTGCAAATTGATGTCTTTGTTGAAGTGAAAAACATTTAAAATAAACAACCATTTCATTAAACCGACAATCGTTTGTTCAAATAGTGTGGACTTCTCAGGGATCCCATGAGTGAAATGTCGCGTATGTACGTGGAGTAAGACGAATAATATGTACGGATTCGGACAATTTTTGAGGGTGACGTAGGGCAGACCAGCATGGCAATATAGATTTCTGGGTATTTTTTTTTTTTTTTTTTTTTTGGGGGGGGGGGAGGAGTCGGACTTATATTGTCAAATAGATTATGATTTTATGGGGAATCAGTCCAACAGTATATTGAGTGGGGGTGCTGTCAGAACAATGTAGCAACATTGATCTGTGGATAAGGGAATGGTGGGGCGTGACACAGTGACATCCCTCACTTGATGGCACTCATCCCGTTTTATTTGTTTGTTCTTTAACCAGCATTCTGTACAAACATCATCACTTTTTTAAATTTTAACATTATTTTCAAGGGGAGAATTTCGCAAGCTAATTTTTAAAGAAAACGTTGTATACCCTACTCGTATTTCTTCATTACCGGTATAGCAAATTAAATATTTTAAAATGGCTTTGAACTAACGGTGCACCGTGTGAGCAGGATATAGCTTGTCGTTTGTTTACACTACCTACCAGTCCCATAACAAAAATATTGGGTAATGTTTAGTGTGGACAACGTCACGAAACGATGTTTTCGTCCGCCATCCAAGAAGTCTAAACTCGATAGTCTTTGATGGACCCAAAGTTTGAAGTCGATGGGGACAGCTATATTTTGCACAATGATTTGACAATGAACAATAATTCTTTTCCCAAAGCTGGTCTCAAAATTTGGTTTCAAAAACTTTTTCATGTGTTCTTTATATTACATAAACATAATCATCTATCTAAAATTCACAAAATGAAAACCAAAATAGTAATCTTTCATGGAATAGGCCAACTGAATTTTTTTTTTCCGGGGCCACGCTGATTAACGGCCTTGACTTTGATGCGTCTGATCAATGTCGCACCCTGAAGTTTAGTTACCGGTACATACATGTTATATTCGCTTTGATAGTTCGTCTTTTTCTTATACAAATTTAATGCAAGTTCCCTCTGAATCAAGCCTAATTTACTTACACTAATTTACAGTAGCCTACGTCTCAAATTTTTTAAAGTTATAGTAAGATAACACTCTTATTTAAATTAGTAACTTGACATAAAATTTATTTTTCAGCTTTATTTTAACTGCGCAAACATAAACAAGATGAGAACCACTGACAAGCCGTTCCAAGTAGAACATAGATTATTGTGTCCCTTGTGGTTCACTCTAGGCGTGAATGGAAAATACGTTGCCGTCTGCCCCGAATGTTTTTGTCTGGTTGGTTTTCCCCTCGCTTGCCAAAATGTGTTGCGTGCTGTGTGTCCTCTTGATTGCAGACCGCCAAGTTCACTAGAGCCAAACACGGTAGACTTCTTGTGTGGATAAGTCGGTCAGTGGGCTCAACGCCGCGACGTAATATATTAAACAAAAAACTAAGTGCATTTTCCATGAGTATAAATATAAACAAACTTGATAAGAATATTTGAATACTAATATTAATTAACCTCAGATGAGAAGTGAATGACTAGTAATCTTTGTGTATTCTTAAAGTAGTTAAAATGCAAAGTATTTCAATATTCCACATACGATATATAGATGATTTATAATTTCATATATTTATTTATAAATTATTTATATAAGTGCACCTTAGTAGGGGCCATCCATAAATGACATCACTTATTGAGGGTAAAAAGTATGTGTGTGGGGGGAGGGGAGGATATAACAGGGCGTCGATAAAGTATTTCACGCCATTCATAACAATTTTACCCCCTTTTCCTCCTGTCACAATCTGTCGGTCACAAATATCCGACCCCCTCGCTTTTTTTTACAATTGACATAACACTTTATAAAAACGTTTTAAAACTTAACAATTAATTAAATTTCAATGTAAACCACACTTCTCTATTAAAATTAGACTCAACTGACATCTTCTGTCAAAATACATCCAGCACAACAGAAATATAAACATCCATGCCAATTTTAGCATTTATATGTATGATACAAATATATAAACGTGTGAGGTCACATATGATTTAACTCCACGCCCCCGTGTCACAAACTGTCACACCTTCTTAGACCCCCTGCAACCCCCCCCCCCCACCTTACGTGACTTACTTTAGAGACGACCCCCATGGCCATGGTAATACAGTTTGAGCTGTGTAAGAAAACATCTTAAAAAATGTATTTTCATCGGGTACGTCGTTTCATTCCAAATGATTCCATCAAATTGCAAATGTTATTATTTAAATTTTAACATAGACACTTCAAAAGTTACCTAACTATAATACATGTATAACATAAATAAGTCTATCTCTTGTAATTGTAATAACACCTAGGAGGGAGGGGGGTTAAAGGTCGTGGAGAGAGAGAGGACTGATCGTGACGTCATTATTTTGCCAGGCATTTTTTTGATATTTTATCAGCAGCTGGAGTTGGAGTAATGTTAACGATTTTTAATAGTAAAATGCTTGTCACCAACCCCCCCGCCCCCCCCCCCCAAAAATCCTTGACCCTTATCCCCGACTCCCACCCACGGGTCACTTTTTAAAAATTCAACCAAAAATTCCTCATATAAAAAAAGAAAACCAAAGTTCACCGGCAACGCCCATGTGCGTAACGTCTTCAGACAATCCCATAAACAGAGTTTCTTTCAGACAATCCCATAAACAGAGTTTCTTTCAGACAATCCCATAAACAGTGTTTCTTTCAGATAATTCCATAAACAGAGTTTCTTTCAGACAATCCCATAAATAGAGTTCCTTTCAGACATTCCCATAAACAGTGTTTCTTTCAGACAATCCCATAAATAGAGTTCCTTTCAGACATTCCCATAAACAGTGTTTCTTTCAGACAATCCCATAAACAGTGTTTCTTTCAGAAAATCCCTTAAACAGTGCTTCTTTCAGACAATTTCCTCCGGGCCATTTTTTTTTTTGGGGGGGGGGCGCATTTCAGACGTTCGGGTGGTCCGTCCAAGTGGCGGAGGGAGGGGAGCGGGGGGAAACAATGTTTCTTTCAGAAAATCCCTTAAACAGTGCTTCTTTCAGACAATTTCCTCCGGGCCATTTTTTTTTTTGGGGGGGGGGCGCATTTCAGACGTTCGGGTGGTCAGTCCAAGTGGCGTAGGAAGTGGAGCGGAGGGCGTTGACCATCCTGTGTCACTTTTTTCTTTATATGGAGGTGTGGCATTTTCGGACAACTGCATGTTTGTCTCGTGGAAAGGAGTAGGCCTACGGCAAAACTCTTCGCTCAACCAAGGCGGCTATGAAACTAGGCGACAAAGTGGAGACAATATAATGTCATTTTTATCCCAAAGTGGGGGCAGAAATCGAGGTCGCCGATGGACCCTGGGTGATATTGGGGGAGGGCAGGCCCGGTTAAACGATTAGGAAAACTAGGCGGCCGCCTAGGGCGGCAAATTTTTAGGGGGTGGCACTATTAATTAAATAATTAGTTTCCGTGGGCGTGGGGGGGGGGCGCAGTGCGACAGGTTCGCCTAGGGTGCCAAATACTCTGGTGCCGGCCCTGGGAGAGGGATATTTAAAATTCTTATCTGTTATTTAGGGAACTGTGCCACGAAAGTAACACATGGAAATTGAAAATTGATGAAACTTGCAATGATTTTGTGCGCCCGTTAAATTATTAATTTCTGATTTAAAAATTATCAGTTTCTTAAGGTTTTCATCTTATCTAGCTCAACATTCTTTGAGCATGCTAGAATAGCATGGACACAAGCGCTATATAAATAATCAAGTATACAAATATTCAATAAATCATTCATAGGATCGAGTACGTTTAAAATTAGTCTAATAACTACATTTTAAAGCATAATTTCATTAAAGAATTTTTAATTAACATGCTGCCCAACTTTAAAAGCTATGATTTTATGATGAAATATTATTTGAAAACAGAGTGCCATTTTGTATACTACTTAAAACAAACAGAAAGAAATTACTATATTAAAATTAAGACCTTTATATTGATGCAAATGTATTTTAATTATTAATACCGTGTTATTAAAGTCTTAAAAGTTTTATAATGTAAAAAAAAATAAAAAAAAAAAAAAAAAAATCAAAATAGTCCAACAAAAAAAACT